CCCAAACACTCCCTCAGCCCCACAGCCCACTCCAACACATCCTGTGTGACCCCCAAACACTCCCTCAACCCCACAGCCCACTCCAGCACATCCTGTGTGACCCCCAAACACTCCCTCAGCCCCACAGCCCACTCCAGCACATCCTGTGTGACCCCCAGACACCCCCTCAGCCCCACAGCCCACTCCAGCACATCCTGTGTGACCCCCAGACACCCCCTCAGCCCCACAACCCCTTTGACGGCCAGACCCCCCCCAGCCCCCTCATCCATGTCCCCCGACACTCTTCCATGTCCCCTGTGATCCCCAGATACCCCCCAACCCCCTCCAAAGCCCACTCACAACAACGGAGCCCCCGTGACCCCCAGAGAGCCCCTCAGCCCCCACTCCCACCTTTCCTGTGCCCCCCAGGCCTCTCTCTGCCCCGCACTCTCCTCTATGCCCGCTGGGCCAGGTAAACCCCCCCCCCCCAACCCCCTTTTCCGGACACAGAGCGCGCTGCGGGCGCCGCCAGGCCCGTAACCGCCCTCAAAGCACCGAGAGCACGGAGAAGGCCCCCCGAAGGCCAGAGGAGAGCGGGAAGGGGTCCCCAAAGCCCCGCAGGGCCCGCGGCCGCCCCCCGGCCGCCCAGGCCGCACTCACCGCGTCCCCGCCGCGGCCGCTCCCTCAGGCGGGCGGTGGGCGGGGCCCCGCCTCTGAGCCCCGCCCGCCGCCCACGCCGCCACGCGATTGGGCCAGCTCCGTGATTGGCGTCCACAATTGGCCAATGGGAACCGAGAGAGCGTGAGGGGGCGGGGCGCGAAGGGTCCGTGCCCGCGGGGGGCGGAGCCCGCCCAGCCCGCCCAGCCCGGCCCGGCCCAGCCCGGCCCAGTCCCCTCCCACAGCCCCTTTTTGTCCCTAAAAGCGCCTCCCAGTCCCATCCACTCCTCTCCCCTCCATCCCAGTCCCCTCCCAGTCCATCCTCCTATAGCTCAGTTTATGCCGGTGCCTCCCAGTGGTTCCCAGAGCCCTTCTAGTGCCCCGCTTGTTCCTAAAAGTACTCGTCTTGTACCTCCCAGTCTATCCCAGTGCTTTAACGGTCCACTCCCAGCACCCTTTTTGTCTATTAAAGTGTCCCATAGTCCTTCCCACTCCTGTCCAATCCCT